AGTACAATACAAACTATGAGCGAACATATTTTATGAAAATAAGTACATTCGTTCTAGACATTTTACGCTGATCTGTAAATCAAACAAATCGGGCAGTCATAGTCTTTCTTATATGATTATGTATTGTTCTAAATTATTCTGCAAGTAGATATTTTATTCCATATTATAATAAATTAAATTTTTGTTTAAATAATTATAGTCTTTACAAATACTTGATTAAATATAAATTCTAATGAAATATAAAGAAAAATATATTAAAACATATTAGATAAGTGTTATTGCGTTAAGTACTGGTTTTGATATTTTTTATTCTAGTCTAAAACTATTTAATCAAGTTTTGAATCCTTTTATAGACGAAAGTAGAATAGTGAATAAATGGAATATAATTTTTATAGATATATAATATAATATGATATGAACGTATAGATTCAAGGATATGATTGTATGGATTCATATATATTATCTTATGGATTCATAGATATGAACATAAGGATTAATGGTTATGATCCTAATGCAGTTCTGAAAATTATAAGATATGAATTAATGCAAGTATTTTGATTGTTGCAATATTCAGATTTTTTTTTATCTTTATCTTTTTTTTAATTTATGAATTTTCCTGCTTTTATTGTACTTATGAATGCTACAAAACGCCATATCGTTTGGTTTGCGTATAGATTATCAATTTATCACTTTAGAGTATAATCGCAATTGTTATAAATAGTTGTGACAAACGTTTTTATATAATTTATGTTACAAATGTAGTAAACATCCAGACCAAAAGCATATAGTCCTTAATAGACTTTTTGTAACACACTGACTGTAAGCTTTTCATTTTTGTTCTTTACATCGCCAATCTTAATTGAAATTAAAACTTAGACAACGTTAAATTCAATCCTATCTTTCAATCGTTGTGACTTCATGTAAATTGTAGTTATTTTTACTGTATTGTCTCCATTGTTAATTTAACTGGAGCGGAGGTGTCCACATTCTAAAATCACTTGTGTACCTAGAACAAGAGCGACAATATCAGCAAATCGTATCACTACAAAAATCGTCGTTTATAGTAAAGAAAAAATTAAATTTTTTAAAAAAATGTTCTTTTTTAATATTTTTTATTTATTCTAAAGAGAATTTCGTAATATTTTTTTTTATTTTTTTAGTTACATAGTTACATTTTATGTAAATACTATGAAAAATTGTATATATGTATGTATGTGTGTGGTATTTATTTTATAAATTGTTAATTAAAATTATATTTATATATATGTGTGTGTATACATTTTTTTGTTACAAATAAAAGCAGTTATATATAATTTTATATAAAATTTAAAACTAATAAATAAGCAATTTTTCTACGAAATAATATTGAAATATATACTTAATTTTTATATAAAAATTATACAATAATTTTTTACATACTGAAACTAATTTTAATTTAGAATTGATGCTTTACATTTTTTAAAAAAAATTTAAATTATTTGCATGATTGTTTTTCAGAAATAATTAATATATTAGCTATATTATTAAAGCAGCATAAATTTATATTGCTTTGAGTTTTATCATTTATTTTATACTTATGAGTATATCATGCCTTGTCAGTTTGATAATTATTTTTTTTTAATTCTTTTATTTTGTTAATTCGTATATATTTCACACAATTAGAAATAACTAGTTTGCTTTTTTGGAACATGTTCGTAATTTGATTTTGAAATATTAATTGAAACAAGTAATAAGGCAAAATTATTTAGGAAGAATTGTTATGGTTTTTTTTTTGTTTTCTTTTTTTTTTTTGTATTGAAGGCTACTTATTTATAGTAAGAAAATAATAATAATAATAATAATGTACACATAAAATATTCTTATAGTTGTTGTTCAAAAAGTTTTAATAATTAAAAAACATCTTTGGCTTTTGGCCCCATTAGAAAACATAATAAATTTTTAAAAAATTTCAAAAAATGCTATAGAGATTCGAAAAAAATATTATATATTTCATTTGTATATAAATGAACGTAAAACAAAAACAAAATTTTATTGTTTACATTAAATCTCAACTTAATTTAAAATCCACATATAAAAATAAATACCATTTTAAAGTTGTATTTGCAATTAATAGAAAAAGTTCATAACAAATTATAATTACAATAAACATACAATGAACAAAATAAATATTCGTACATAACATTTATGAACCATAACAATTAATAAAATTTTATATTTGTTTTATTATTTATGATATATACAATTAACTTAATATTTCTATACAAATCAAAAATATAATAATAACAATTACATATACAACATATCATCATATGCATTACATACACAATCACTTTTAATTCTAGAAAACATAATTGATATGATTTAAAACTCTAAAAAATACTTAATATATTAAATAATTGTGTTTGTTTTTGATTACAGCAAACATTAATAAAAAAAAAATTATTATTAATAAAATAAACTAAATATACAAATTATAATTTAAGGCGGTCATACCGAATATAATATAATATTATGTGCTACACTTGCGAATCTTGGATAAGTATGCATGTATTAGAAATATTTCTGACAATTTGAAATTTTTCATTTGTTCGTTATTTTAAATTAGATATATTGTATATATTTATATATATTTGTTCAAGAAGTAAGGTAAAAATATATAATATTTAAAGCTTTAATTATTTTATTAATTTCATAAAATTCCAAAAGTTGTCAGAAACAAAATCTTAACACAAATTTTAAAAATATTCATGCGTTTATTTTTATTAAACATTATTGTTGTTATTTTATAAATTTATATAAATAAGTGTTATAACTAGACTTGATTTTTTTAACACTATATTTCTTTTATTATTTCATTTCGAATTAATTTACATTAAGGCATTGTTTAAATATGTTTAGCACTTAACCCTAAACGAAATCTTTAGATATTTTTAAATTAATTTGTATTATTTGTAACGTTAGATAAATTATTTTACCATTTATGGATAATAGCTTCGTTTTGGTGTTTTTTTTTATAACAGTTATGTGTGTATGTCAATTGTTGTTCTTAAGCATGTAAATTTTAATTCTCTTATATTAAAACAGTTGCGTATATTAAAGTATGTAAATATTAATTATTTATTATGTACGTAGTTTTAGTGGCAATCCAATCAGTTCATTTTATCGAGTACAAATTAACAAATTTTCATTATTCTAACAATTAAGTTTTAAAAAACTCTCCTATTCAGCATATCGAAACGCCAGAAAAACGCATTTCATTTCGCGTTAAGCAGTTCATTTCAGATATAATTTTTATATATCATATATTTGACGAAACAACTTCAGTATTATAGAAATTGCTTTACTTTTCATAGATTTTATCACAAAAATGAAAGATTCTTATATGTTTAGTTTAGTTATTGGATAAAATATTAAATGGGACGTTTCGTTATTATGAATGCGATTACAAGCTTTTATTTTTATAGTTTCGATTTTTGTTTTTTATAAAATCTTTATTTTATTTATGTTTTTCTTACACATATCAATTTTATATCCTTTTTACATTTTCCTACTAAACAAAACTTCAATTTGTTTGTAACAAATTTACTCTATCATTCTTAAACTTTTTAACTATAATAATTATTTTGTTTTTAATGTTTTACATACTTTTGTTTGTATATATATTTAAGCTAATTACAATTGGAATTTTTTATTTTATAGTTTGGGCATTAATCATTTTAAATGATTTAACATTGAAATCTCTTGTTTTCTATGCTTTTACCCTTAAATATTTACTGAATATTTTTATTAACTTCGATATCTAACGTTAACTTTTTGTTTATTCATTTGCGTTCGAAGTTTCTCTTTTAGTCAGATTCTTTTGATAATTATAAAAATTAATTTTATCGAACTATATTACCGTACCGCCGGGAGGCGCTGTTTGACTGGGTGACAAATGCTGTGGTATATTCTATATAGACATGTAAAAAGAAATCAATTAATACAAAAAAAAAAATATTTAATTGAAATAAACTTCACACTTACCGAAGCATAACCGGGTCGCGCCCATGTATAGATGATACCATCCTGACAAGCCGTAAGAAAGCAATCTTCACGAAATATAAGCGCAGTTAATCGTTCATGTGCTATCTTTTTGGAAACAAGTGGTTCCAATAAAGGACATTCATCAAAACGCGGACATGCAGGTGTACCAATTAATTTCATAGGATCATATGAGTTAACTATTCCTTGCGTAGCATTTGCTATAGACGTATTATGGGTATTCGTCGAAGATTTGCCAAGTTTTAGCGAACCAAAACTATGTGCTGTCACACTGTTTCCCATACTAGTATTGCTAGTATGTTCCAGCGTTGTAGAATTAGCAATACTATTACTGTTGCTATTATGCTGATGATGATTACTGCTATTACTGTTGTGATTGTAAGATTTGAGTAAACTCATAGTTTTACGATTATTGCGATGTGAGGATGACGAATGTGAGACATCTATGCCGGATGATTTCTTATCCGAACTACTAAGGAAACTAAAATTAGAAAGGCGCTGCGTTAGACTATTAAAAGATAATCCTGAATCGGATGATTTAGTGGAGCTGTTAGAAGTTTTGCTGTTATAACCCGATGTGCTGGTACTACTTTTAATTTGATTACCATCGATGGAATCAGATTTAGTGACGCTTATACAGTTCGGGAACTTAATAGTATTACCTGTACCTGTTGTTTTATTTGTAGTTGTATTCGATTTACCAATATTACTGGACGTGGGTTCTTCTGGAGGTGTGTTCGCATTAGACGAGTGTGAGGATATTGTACAATTCGCTGTGGAAAACTTACTAGAACTACTATTGCTATTTTCAGTCACTGCATTGTCCTTTGTTGGACTACTAGCATGTTGCGGTGGTGGGAAAGTTCCAGAAGTGTTGCCTACAGCTACTGGTCGTATAACTTTTATACCGTCTGCATCTACACCACCATTCATGTAACTTGTATCATTTAAATTAGCGCTATTAAGCCGTTGTCGTAAAGATAACGGATGCCTTAATACATCCTCCGTTATATCCCACAGACATATTTGTGTATCTTGGCTTACAGATCCTAAACGGTAGCTAATTGCTAATTTGTCTGGCGCTAACGCACTCGATGATGTGTCCGATCGAAACGATGCTGAATGTGGTCGCTGACGTACATGTGTTGGTGTTGAATTTTTTTCATTACTACTATAATCAAATCCGTTGCCAGATGAATCACCTGAAAACCGTGGATCACGACTACTCATAAAGTCATGTGGTTGATTTTCATCATCTGAAAAGTCACCACCATCCCAATTTGTATAGGAGGTTGTATAAGGATCAAACGCAACAACTGATACCCACGAGCGATGACCTTGACCACGTGCTACCACTCTTCGTTCATGTAATGACCAAACTGTGACTAAATCATCTTCTCCACCAACCACAATATACCGACCATCTGGCGACCAACAAACACATAAAAAACCACCAAAATACGAACGCGCAATTCCTAGTAGCTCCATAGTATCATAATGAAATACACGTAAAAAACCATCTTGAGAAACTATCGCTAAATTAGAACCGCATGGAGAGAAACAGAATTCGTTGATGCAACAATTATCTGTACTGAAGACCCATTTGTACAATGGATTACGCGTCGATTTTGATTTGCAGGTAAGTATTGTATATCCATCGCCCATTTTGAAAGGTTGATAGTTAGGAGCTGCAGCGGTACATGGTAGGTCCTCGTTGTATAAATACAAATTTCCTGACGCATGTGAAGCTAGAAATAAGTTGGGCGAGTTCGGTAACCACTTCAGACAAGTCACTTTGGTTTTGTCAATGAGACGCTTTAAGATAACATTTTGTGAATAAATTTTGTTAAGGTGATTATTTTCATATATACACTACCTCTTCGTTATATAATTTACGTAATTCTCGTGGACCCGGTTGTGGTGCAACCAATTGTATCTGGCCTGTGGTGAAACCAACTAATAACGGCGCACCCGTAGGTGTAGCAGAACATGCATTAAAATCGTGACAACTGGGATTGGTGCCTTTATAAAATTTTTTATCAATGGGTTTACCCATTTCACCCTGGTAAAGAGAAATATGATAAAGATAGGATTAATTACATGGAATTATGGAAGTGGGATATTATATTCTATGTAAATTATAAATAAATTTAATTGTACGCGTATGAACTGCATATAAAAATGTAGGGGATATTAAAGGTTCAAAGATTAAACCCAAATTTTCCTTTGATTTTTCCATATCACTTTGTTGCTGCTATCATTGATGTTTATGATGATCATCTTAATTATTATTGCGTAAGACTTTATTGCAATTTATAACATATTTTGTTGTCGCATTTTTTTATCTGCAATGTATCGCACAACAACAGTTATGAATGAATAATTCGTATATGACGTGAATATGTGACGGATTAATTAATGTCTTTATTAAAACAAATTACGAGTATATCAGTAGAAAAACGGAAAGAGACATTTATTGAAACAATACAATTTTGTTCACATCCAGGTTGCTCTATATTATCTATAATTGGAGATATGCACGTGGGGATTACGAAGTGTGCAATTCATTAACTTTGTTAATTGAATTTTGTTTAATTTAATAATTAAAAAAATAATTAGTGGTTTAAATATCAATGTGTGGCACATAACATTTTATATAATTAGATTTCGGTATTAGAAAAGCTACTTGCTACACTTCATCGCCTTGAATAGTTTTGGATATTGGAAAAGTCAATTCCAAGTAAAAGGTTGAATATGACTTATGATAACTAACATGTCTATATGTTGTTGCAATGGTAACATTTGCGTGTAGACGTCCTTATAATTGGATACATATTGTGTGAAGTATTAGCCTTAGTCTAGTATTCTTTGAATGCTTTCAAGCACCTTCTAGTTTATTCAATATGTTACTAAATTACATTTAAAGTAAGGTGTACTATTCTTAAAGCAAAAGCTTTCAAATACTATAAAAGTGCTATTGATTTTTAGATATTCATTTATTCTATAACATAGTTTATCTGACTACATAACAAAAGTTAATCATTAAAAAACATTAAGAACTGCAAGTATTTCAATCCTATTCATGATGGGTTTTAGAAATTTCGTCGACATTTGCACAGCTCTCTTATAATTCATGAAATCTAATATTTAAATAACACAGGCCGAAGAAGTAGATTAGGGGTGTCAAAATTAACCAGGTTCAATGTAATGTAATCTTACGATGTAATCTTACACAGGCCGAAGTGAGGTTAGGGGTATCAAAATTAACCAGGTTCAATGTAATGTAATCTTACGAACTATATTGATGGAGTCACAAATCAATTGGTCTCCAATTATTATGTACCGAGAAATTATTGAATAGTTGGACAACGTCATGTAAAGTAATCCTGCAATTGAGACATACATTGAGAATATATGTGTTTATGCGTCTATAAACAAGTAACAGATTAGCATGTGACTAGGTCTTGCTGTACATTGAAATCACGTGCTTCTAGGGACAGAAGCTTATTGATAACTTGAAAACAAAGTATCGAAGAAGAGGACACTTTTATAGTGCATGTACGTGGGTTAGGATAAGTGTGGGTGAACTGTGAGAAGAGAGTACTTATGTAAGCTGATGGAGGGACATGGGTGTGGGTAGGTGTTAATTAAAACTAGATTGAAACTAGATTAGAGAAGGATGCTGGTCACTTCGGTGAGACAGTATATTATATCCATAGTTCTCAAATTGTTATAAGATGTTTTGTTTCTTTGATATTGTCTTAATTGTAGAAGCTGTCGATATATTCATGATGCAAACACAGGGATTGATAGTTACACTGGAGAGGTCGGGTTCTACTGTTTTGTGGAGCAGTACATATTTATATGTTTCACATGCTAATATAAATATTGGAACTATTGTTGATTATTAACTTTGTACATACATTTTCAATGTCAGTTGTTAGTTTTTTGAACGTTCTATTAAAATATACACATTGTTAAAAGACAAGTATTAGAAGGTTCAAAAATATGTACATTTGTCTTGGAAATTTATAAAGTGGTTACTTAAATTTGTAGCTTAAAATACATTCCTCTTTGAATGTTCTAACTTCGGCAAAGAAAGGTTTAATTATTTAACTGTCGTTATGCAGAACTGCTATGTCCTCATAAAATTTCTGTAACAATAAATATAAAAATGTTCTAAAATTTATTAAAAATAAAACATGTACGGTTGAAACCTAAGATTATGTACAATATATTTATTTGGTTGCGGTGGATATTGGCCTCTAATAGTTATAATAATGATTTCATATTGCTTGACAACAATGTCAATGACTTCATATTTTTTTACGATAACTAATAAGCAGGGATTCACAAAAAGCGGTCTGTTCCTAGCCAGTGATGGTCACTGACATATAAGATGGAGTACAGTTTTCTTCTTATCCGCAGAATCAGAGGCATGACAAAATCCATTATAGGGAAGACACAGTCTCATAGCATGTTTGTTAAGCAGGTTATGCATTAGTTAAAGCAATTGGTGCCTAATCTTCAAATCTGACAGAAAGGTTTAGTTGTCCAATTTTGTTTAACTATACTTAGACGTTTTAATTTAATTGCTAGCTTGACCGTTGCAAGTGGGTTATCAATGTCTGAGAAATGAATGTCAGGGAGCAGAGTGAGTGCTTGTCTTGGCAAGTTCGTTTGCTATGCAGTTGTCCGAAAAGTTTCTGTCTCCAAATACCAATGTGAGCTAAAAATGACACTCATTGCTAATTCGTTAAGAGAAGGTTTTTTCGATTTGTTGAGTTTGTGATTGTAGCGCCTATGATATTTACATCGAGTATTTTTTAGGTTAAGATCCATTTTGTTGTGAAGCCGTCAGTGTAAATGTCTACTGTGTAACTTGCTACTTAAGTAATAATATATGTATGTAAAATTGGTCTCTTGTCATATACCTCATATATTTAACTCTTATTAAAGTGAGGAAGAGTTAAAAATATACAGTTATAGCAATTACCGACAAATATATCGAATACCAGATATCAGAAGTGAGTTAAGAATACTCATACTACAATGTTAGCGACAAAAGTTGTAGATACTTTATATTATCGAATACAGATATCAGAAGTGAGTTAGGTATACTCATACTACAACGTTAGGGACAAAATTTGTAGGTACTTTATATTATTTAACACAATATAAAATGTATCTGATGTATAATGATCTATATTAGCTCATATACTAACTTGATTTTCACGAACTAATTATCTAGACAAACTAAATTCTTTAAACCATCCTCTGATCTGTATAAAACAGGTTTCTTTTCAAATTTGAAATTTTTTACTTAAGTGTTTACGTAAATACTGACTTAGCTTAAAGAATATTTGTGACTTATTAAATATAACAAATTAAATTGCTAATTTGGATTTTTTTTTGTATTAATCTTACGTATACTACTCGTACATAGTATATGCAATAAATAATATAATAAGCAGACAAAAAAATAATAATTATGAAGTAATTAAGCTTAACAAAATTAGCAATGAAACAATTAAATAAGAAAGTCACAGTGCTAACGACAACTGTTGGTTTACGTATCCAAGTACATACGTATATATGATGTGTAAAGATATATAGTAGCATGTATATATTATCTAATTCTTAGCGAAATTTTAGAAGTGATCAAGTGTAATAATATGCACGAGGTAAGCTTTACGTACAAATTGTAAGATAAAATATAAATGCAAATAAGAAACTTTGGTAAACAAGTAAACTAAACATTTTTAGTTCTAAGAATTTGTAAAACAAAAATATTTTAAAAAATACAAGTACACTAATAGTACATAATATGTTCTACAAATTTAACATATATATATATATATCTATATATATATTGTATATACAATATATCAATTAAGCTAATATTGCTGTTGCATTTGTTTGTTTATTATTCAATTTGAGTGACTGTTTGCAACATCAATTCAACTATTTTGAATGCTGAGAAATTAATGAATGACGCTGATTGCTGTTTAGTTCAATTTCAGTAGCTTTGTTTGCTCATATCGACGAGGGTAGCGAAAGAGTTAAGAGCTTTGACAAATAAAAATGTATAACCTATTGAATAACAGCACATTTAATTTCGTATGATTTTATCATATAAACTATAATTCATTTATTGTAATAAAAAAATATGTAACGATATATTTAAGCTGCCCTTGTTTATTGTTGCCTTGTAATACATTTTATTTATTTATTTTTTGTAAGAACTGCAGATTCAGTTGCATGATTCTATTATAGTTTAGAGGGAGCTTGCCATTTAACTACAATTTTAACGGTACGAAACATATAATATAGTTGCCTATAGCCTATATACCAGATAAGATAAGCTTTGCAGGCTTTTGCAATGATTTTTATTTGAGTTAATATGTAAATAGCAAATGTTTGTTTATTTTAGTGGTGTGAAAGAAATATCAAATTAATAGATATAAACGTTGAGAACTACGTCAATGTGCATATTCACACAAATGATTATAAAAGACTTTAGCTCTTAATTTTAGTTAAGTGGATGTCATACACTTTTATAGTATTTGTAGTGATATACAGCAAACAATACTATGTGAACATGATTTGTTAATGTGTTCATTACACTTATGTGGTTCGAGTCAAATTGACTTCACACCTCCCTATGGGAATTATGAGCCAACAAATGAAGGAATTGTAATAAACCATGGTTTGATAAAACTAAATGTTTTAAATACTTTGCATATTCTTACAATGAGTTTCCTTTTGAATAGTGGAACATTATTACATTAAAAATATATACAAATAAATTTTATTTTTATACAAACATATATACAGAGCAACACAACATTTATAGTAAAGCCTTATACAGCAAAATATAAACTTTATATTTAAAATGAATAATAGCCATAATAAAAGCCTTTTATATTGTCATAAAAATTATATTTAATATATAAAACATTGTCTTTTAGTATATATTTTGTACAAATAAAAATAAATGGACCGAAATTGTCTAATTTGTACCCATTTTAACTTTAGAAACAAGTTTTATTTTGTTTTTTA